CTCGTGAACGTGCGCCCTTTATTGAGCTCATTTATTAGTTGGCACACGGCGTTCAATCAAATCGCCACCACGATTGTGTTGTGGTAGCTTCACATCGATTTTTTTCTCTTCTTTGTTATTCTTATTGATTTGTTTTTCTGTTTGAATCAAAACTGTAGGTTTGGCATAAAGTCCATCGTTAGAAGCGAAAGAGAGGGATTTGTTCTCTGCCTTATCAATCACCTTGATAATGAGTTCAATTAGAAAAGTTTCTTAAATTTGTCAATATGTCTTTTGAATCGCTAAGAGAAGAAGATTAGTAAAAAAAAACTTGTTTCAAAAATTAACGCAGAAAAGAAAAGTAGAAGAGTTTATTTCAATTGTTATTCAGTTTCGTTAAAATAACGACGAAGATTATTTTATGAAGTATTGCTGCGAAGAATCATATGATAGTAGACTCCTCTTTGTTTCATTAAGTCTATGTGAGTACCACTTTCTACCAGATGTCCTTTCTCAAGCACGCAGATCAAATCACACGAACGAATGGTCGACAGACGATGAGCAATGATCAGGGAAGTTCGAGTTGGATCGTCTGTTTGAGCTCTTTCAAGAGCTTTTTGCACGATCTAAACATGTTGGAAATGATTATTTGATTAATGAGCATGGTAAGAAAACGAACCTGTTCATTGTACGAGTCCATAGCACTTGTTGCTTCGTCTAGCAGCAATACTTTTGGCCGATGAAGAAGAGCTCGAGCAATAGCAATACGTTGTTTCTCACCACCTGACAAGTGGCTACCTTTCATACCGACTCTAGTCTCATAACCCTGTTGTCATGGTGCAAAGACACAATCAAATATCATGTGTTATTCTTCACTCACTTGAGGTAACTGCTGAATGAAATCATGAATGTTGGCTTTGGTAGCTGCGTCGATAATATCTTCAATCGAACTATTCTCTTTACCATAGGCTATGTTTTGAGCAATAGTCAAATTGAACAATATAGGCTCTTGACTAACGAGACCAAGAGTTGAGCGAAGCCATTGAATATTCAGCTGTCGAATGTCAACACCGTCGAGATACTAGATTTCATTAGTCACGTGTTTCCACTCATACTTTGACAGCATAGAAGAAAGATACTTACGATTCGACCCTGTATGGGATCGTAGAATCGTTCTAAAAGCTGAATGACTGTTGATTTGCCACAACCAGATGCACCTTTGCATATAGATTATATAAGTGCTTTGAATGGTTAAAAACTAACTTCAACATACCTACAAGAGCCACACGCTGGCCTAATTGACAAATACAAAGATTTAATCATAAACTAAACTTCAAATATACGTTATAAGCTCACCAGATTTGATGATCAATTGAAATTTATTCAGGATGCAGGATGTCGGTCGAGATGGATATGCAAATTTGACTTCACTAAATTCGACTGCGCCTTGAAAATCACTCTACCATCGACATATTTTAACAATGAGATAAGAGGGATCTATTCAACGTCGAGACTTTTACGAAATGAATTACTTACCAATTGTTGACCATCAATGGAACTATTATCAATAGCTGATGTTCGATCGAACAAATTGAAGAAACTTTGAGCTGCTGACAATGAGTCACTCATCTGTCGCGTTCTAAATAAAACACTTGCGAAAACATAGTTGATTGACGGAAGTACTTACAAAGTCGTGATGCATCGTACGGATTCCAAGGCAAAAATGTAATAGGCAAACACCCTAGAAGAATATGTAGATAAAATAGATCTTAAAGCTTTTTATTTGTGTACTTATTCAGGTTATTCATGTTCAATTCTTTGCGTTCAACAAGTATGAAAGCCTGCCAAAAGATAACCAACTCGATCAATGGTCTCGTTCCCCAATAGAGACTTTGTAATAGAGGGGATATTACTAGATCATTTCGATGAATTCTATGGCCAGAAATATTGCATGAAGATTAGGGAAAAAAGTTATTGAAAGACTGACTTGAACTCCTCAAGAACTAGATCAGAAAATTGACGCAGAAATTCTGTCTCACTTGCCAATTGTTTCACCGTACGCATATTGTAAATGATTTCGACAGAGAACTATTAAGAAAAGAAGATTCAACATCAATATTTCAGTATACATGATATGTTAATCGACATGTTCCTCTTACCGAACTTGCTAATCCAAGAACACAATCAAGGCGTTTATTCAATTGTGCTTTCCAACGTATTTGCATGAAAGCAACAAAAAACAAAATGATAATATAAAAGAGTAGGATTAATGCCAACTGCCAGCTGAACAAAAACGCGATAACAATACCAACTCCAAATGTCGCGACTGATTCACAAACGATGCCTAGATAACTGCCAACCATTTGCTGAACAGCCAATGCATCGGATGAAAGACGATGACAGATAGCTCCAGAACTATTTTCAGGACGATCAAAGAAAGCCATTTCTTGGCGTAAATAGTGCGCAAAAGCTTTAATGCACATACGTTCAGTTAATTTCGAGCCAGACAAAGCAAATGCGGTGTACTATCGATGCAGAAAATATAAAACATTTTTGTGCAATATATTCCTACTTGAATAAAACGTATAACCAAAAGACCAATACCCATGAACAAGAAGAGAAGAGAAAATTTCAAAATTTTATGACTTCGTTCTTCGTAGGTACACGTTCCAAATGCCTTTGAACAACCAATGACGATACTCTTGGTTTTTCTATGCGCGAAAATGACTTACGGATACTGTAAGAGAGAGTAGAACAGCATGTATGGTTTGACTCGCCCCAATTATGAGACAGGTCATGCAGCCGATCAGAATGATGATCCATTCGGGACTATTCATAAACAAAAGTCGCAAAAAGACAGGTTGACAATTCCTATCGGATGACGCCTGTTAAAAGAATATTACGCATGCAAAACACATCTGGACACAATTAAATTCATATTCTTTACTTTATTTTCGTCGTCAAATTCACTATAGCTAGGACGCAGAGAATGTTCAGCTAATCGAAACAAATGATGTTGTTCAAAATATTCTCTTTTTTTGAAATTCTGTACGTACATATTTGTTTTTGATCGTAATCTTCGATTGGTGCAGTGTTCGTTTTTCCATCGATATCATTTTCTGTGTTTTCGTTCTGTTGAGCTCTCATCATCTCGCAATATCGACTTCCTTCTTGTGACATCAGTGCCTCGTGTGTACCTTGTTCGATAACACATCCATTATCCAAAACATAAATTTGATGTGCATTTTGAACTGCTGATAAACGATGAGCGATCACAATAGTTGTCCGACCTATGAGTAACTTTAGATGATACGATTGGAACAGAAAGATACGTACAAACCTTTGCATGCTTGATCGAGTGCTTCTTGGACAATATTTTCATTGGTATTATCAAGAGCACTTGTTGCTTCGTCCAACAAAAGCAAGGCAGGCTGTTTCACAAGAGCACGAGCTAAAGCGATACGTTGCTTTTCACCACCACTCAACTGAACACCACGTTCACCGACAATTGTGTCATATTTCTACGAAAACAGAAAACATTATGTATGTCATTAGAGAAGATCATGTGATGCAAACATTCGGTAATTGCATTATGAAATCGTGTGCAGTGGCTTGGCGTGCTGCTTCATTAATTTCGGCTATTGTTGCATTTTCTTTACCAAAACGAATATTTTCATAGATGCTTGTACCAAAGAGAATCTATATTAAATAGTATCAAGCACAAAAATCAGAAAACAAAGAGACAGACGTACAGGTTCTTGACTGACAACACCCATCTTTTGTCGGAGTTGTTTGAAATTGCAATCAGTGATCGACCGATCATTAATTGTAATGCGGCCCGATAAAGGTTCATAGAAACGAAGTAGGAGGGAAACACATGTGCTCTTGCCTATTTGATCAACAAACTATAGACTATTAAACTCCAATATGCTTTTTTTTGCAAAATACCCACCAGAACCACTTGAGCCGACTAAAGCTGTTGTTTCACCAGCACGTGCCGTCAATGTAAGATTTTGTAAGACCAAGACGTCCGATCGGGCTGGATAAGCAAAATTGACGTTGTCAAATTTTACATCACCATTTATGTTGATAGTTTCTTCAGCAGAAACTGAATTTTGCGATATTTGCGTTTCATTCATACTTGTATTCTTTTCCTAAATGATACAATAATGAAGAGACAAGATCGTACATTAGGCACAACTGTACTTCATCGATCAATCGAAAAACAGGCGCCAAAGCACCTCGAGCTTCTTCCAACGATTGAAAAAAAGGACCATAAAATGTAGTTTTAGTGATAGCCCGTCCCAAAATAATCACTATCTACTCAAACATCAAGAATCCATCGGTTTTTAAAACTTTCTTTGTGAACTGAATAACTCACCACTAGAAGACCATTGAAACTGAGTCTATCAGATCCGTCGTGATGCATGAGAAATAAGCCAAAGGCAAAACCAATCGAATAAATCATGTATCCTACCAGATAAATCCAACCATTGAGAAGACCAAATGCAGCACCCTTTCGTGCACTGCTCCTACGAGTCGGCCGTAATTCGTTTTCGTATCTAGATTCACAATAAAATCCGAACATGCTCATGATTGACACGTTACAAAGTTTCTTTAACAATATATATATATATATTTCTTACCGTTTTTCCTCAAATTTTTCACCATTAAGCGAAAGCACACTACGAAGAGAACTGAACACTTCTTGAACGATCTCGCCAGCTTTTGAGTACGCATCCAATTCGTTTCTCGATTCTTTGACAGTAATCTTTTAGAATTAATATAAGCTAAATCAATCATTAGTAGTTGTGTTTACCTTTGAAAATACATATGAGCCGACGATAGCAAACGGCACTGTACATGCTATAGCAAATGTCAATTTCCAGTTGATGATTAGAGCAACACAAGAAGAGCAAATAATGGAAAATAATGCTGCAAGCAACATTGATAATTCAAAGCCAACGGCTTTACTCATATTGTCGATGTTACTATGAGGTAAGAGAGCCAGATATCATTTCTATTGCAAATATTGGCAGAAAATGACTTACTTGAACAGTTTGACACTGAACTGACTAATCGAATTTGTATCGCAATACGAAATATTCTAGAAATGAGAAAGAGATAAAGTGAAAGCATCAATTCACATGTTTCATAATCAACTACCGTGGATTTGTAATTGTTGTTACTCAAAAAATAGTCCCTCGTTGTTTTTTCAAATTGTTCCTTTCTTCATCATCGCTCATATATAAGCTCTTTTTTTCAAAAGGTGCGCTGTGCATTTATATTTTTCCCCCTCAACAAAAGGTATTTTTTGTTCAATGAATTTAGTCTTTATTTTTTCAAATCTCCTAGAAGTATATGAAGCCATTAGACATAATTCCCACGTTCTTTTATTTTGTCAATTTTTCTCTTGCAATATTTAAACTAAATTCCCTGTCATCCCTCTCTCCCGCCTTCGTAATAGAAGCCTACAGCGCTTCTGAACTGTCCAAGCGCTCGAAATTTTTAGGGCGACTACTATTACGACTTTCGTACAAAAATTTTGCAAAAATAAGTAGAATATGAATTTCGATACTTTAGTCTTCTTAATTACGATAGCCTGTATGAATTTGAAAAGAATTCCTTTAGATTTATTCAATATTGACTGAATGTGTTGTATTTTTTCACCGTCGAAATATGCCATCACATCCATGAAAGAAACAAATATAAATCAGTGAATGTATGACTAGTGGGTAATAATTATTTCTCTTTCAATATAACGACGACTATACATAAACGTGTTCTTTACAGCTGCAAGTGTTGGTAAATGAAATATTGGTCGTCTCTAAAGTTTATGTCTAATGATGAAATTTCGACATCACCAGGGGCATTTCTCAATTGCTGAAGGCAAAATTAATGCTACCTTATAATTCGAAGAGCAGAATTAACTGTTAAAAAGTTCGAAATTATCCCAGTCGTAATAGAAGCCTTGAGAGCTTCTAATATATCTTTCACATCCATCCTTCCAAAGGGAGCTTCTAATGAGGGAAGGGAGTTTACTACAATATTGAAGCTTGAATATTAATAATCTCAGAAATTTTAATTTTCTGATCTGAAACAACACATTGTATACGACGATGATTTTACTAAATCCATTGACATCATGAACTGAAAACATAATGGAACAATCTACGACGATGTAAGAATGAGAATTGCACCGGGAAATAGTTGAGAAAAAGAAAAAAAAATTGAAAATTGTATCTGATTGTCCTATAGAATTCTGTGATGTTTTGGAAAAGAAGAAAGACTATAGTTTTCGAATATAAATGCTTTCAGTATCATCTCTACGGAATTAAAATACAAAACATCATGGATCATTGTGACTATAATGGGAACCTATCTATGCTTTTTGCAATGTCTTTGGGAAACAATGAGCATCACATCGAAAATCCTTTGAAAACGTCACAAGCTGTGTTGCACATAATGCAAACTCCTAACAATATGTGTCATAATACTTTGAATACGATAGAGATAGGAGTCAGTTTTTTCGCAATATACTTCGACAATCCATCTCAGTTGTGTTTCCCAATACATCATTTTTTAAAGAATAGCACTGTGTATAGTTTCAAAGAAAGTTCAAGTCTAAACGATAATAATGATTGAAGAAACCGAGAAAACAATGAGATGGTCATTAATTCCTTCCCATTCGTTATATCTGTGTCAATATGAATGTGTTTAACATACGCGTTGCAAAAATGATTGTAAAAGACGAATACGTATCCGAGAGATCTGTCGTTTAGCGGCCACAGTGAAGAGACAATATTGAGCAGCAATGCACACGAGTTGAATTGAACCAATGACTATATATATTCAAAGTGCAAGCCATTCTTCTAGTTGATGACTGAAAAGTTAAGTTTTTCCTGCTTACTTAACAGCCATCGTAATGATTGCTTCACATTTTCACGAAATTGGATCGTAGGAAACGACCGTAATAACGATGAGGTAGTACTGTCATTTGGGCAGAGTCTGAAATTGATGAACAGTGAATAATGAAAAAAGCTGGAATGCATCAATGTCTTCTGCGATCAATACTTACTTTTGTAATGAATCATAGTTGAAAATATTTGGCTCAGCATTCCATGGACATCCTTTGCTGTTGTTAATACTAACCGATATGTTTTGCTGTGAGGAGCATCGACCAATAAACGATTGCAGCGCAAATGCGCTCGTAAGTCGACTAAAAACGACTAAAGATGCTGTGGAGCTCATGCCATATAGTAAGACGAAACATAATCCGAGAAATATCATGATAAGATCCAGCCGATCGGCAAAACGAAACTATCAAAAAGTTAAATAAACACTCTGTTATTCACTATGTATTCACTCTTAATACACTTACCAGTTGAAAATATCCAATAACTGGCTCGTTTCTAGTGCCATCATTATCATCATCCAAATTTTCATACTTCTGATCAATCTTTGTGAAAGCAAAATATTGACGCCAATTGAACAGTCTACATGAAAAGTATATTGTTGTTGATACCTCTTTTAATTTAAACTCTCGCACTTCTTCATCTGCTTTCGTAGAGAACGGCCACATTTTTGCTCGTTCGTTCACATACTTTTCACTCTTCACATCTCACAAGTTCCTTCTATAGTTCGTGTAGGAACATCTCTATGTTTTCAACTAATTCTCAATTAGCCGAAATAATCATTTCTAACAGCTCAAACTAATCCAAGTTAATCAGGTATGAATGGTCAATACCCAATATGTGAACCACATCAGGAAAATTATTCCACAGGTTACATGATTTCTATGGCTTTATTAGATTTACACGAGCTTATGATACACACCAATTCATCCAGCAGATGTACCATGGAAAAGGGTGTGTGTGTGTGTCGATCTTCTCTTCACACCAGATGTAACCCACACCCCAAACTGAATTTTATATACGTTGTGCGACTTTTTATTTTCTACGAAATGGTAAAATATATTGGAAAAAAAATTTAGAATTGATGCAAAAAAGGGATTACACCTCCAAATTTTTAATGATTTTTGATAGCTTTTCAGTAGAATATGAACATTTTTAGCGGTTTTCGTAGCCATAGCATAATGATAAAACATAATAAATACGATATTGTAGGTCAGTGTGAAAAATTGCATCTAACCATATATGTTTTAACAAAAGTTTTTCCTGCCCAAAATTGATCTGTGATCCCCACAGCTATACTTCAAAGAAATATTTCTCCCTGGTTCCCCACAGGTCAATTTTGGGCAGGAAAAACTTTTGCTAAAACGTATATAGTTGAATGCAGTTTTTCACACTAATTCCGAATATCGTTGTTAATGACACACACTCTTCTTCTTCAAGACAAATCATCATCTGTATATATTTGGGAAAAAATGCACAAGAATCACACACAACAAAGAAGAAAAACAAACATATATCCTCCTCTTCCAACGCATCCTCCTCTCATGTATCACATGCCAGCCATGATCTCTTACTCAGAGAGTGACTCATGTGAAGAGAGACGGAAAAAGAGAGACGGGAAGAAAAGACCAAGAAAAAAGAAAAAAAGAAGCAAAAAATGCAACGAAGAGTGTTTAAAAGCTCATCTAGAACATGTATCATGGTGGCAGTCATGACAATCGTATTTATTATGCTTTATCATTATGTATGGCAATGAAAACCGCTAAAAATATTCATATTCTACTGAAAAATCATCAAAAATTCGGAGATGTAAGCCCTTTTTTGAGTAAATTCTAAATTTTCTTTTCAAATATTTTTTTTAGCATTTAGTATAGAATAAAAAGTTCCATAACATTTATAAAATTCAATCTGGAGTCTCCTGATCCTGCTACACAGCGGGAGGTACACTGTTTTATGTGAATTGATCAAAATGATCCTTTGACTCATGTTGGCTTTATAAAATGTAAGTTGTTACACAATATAGTATATCAATATAGCTTATTTTATTCAGTTTTTAATTCTCTATGTTCCTATGTATGCCACGAAAAACTTCAGTGATCTGCTGGAACGCAATTTAGTACATCTTTTATAGGATACTTTTTCTTGTTTTTTCCCAAAAAGATGTGATAGCGCTAAAAGCTGATATTGACTAACTTTTCGTAGGAAGGATATTAGAACTTAAAATTTTAGGGTTGGTGGTTATAGACATTAATGTGTTGAATGAACAAAAAAATCGAAAAAAAAAGTTTATCAAGTGCCTCGTATATTGGAGTAATACTCAATCAGTTCATGAAAGCCCTCTTAAACATCATAATTTCTCCTTATATTATCATTTAAGCACTTTCGAGTGTTGCATTTATGAGCGTAATAAAAAAAAAAACTTCTCTTTTACTTGTTAATCGCCGATCGTCTTCGATTGCTATTGCTATCGTCAATAGAAAAACGATCTGCAGTTGGTAATAGTGGCTGCGTATCACTCATCATGTGATATATTATCTTTTATTGAGAGAAATTAAGAGAAAATATGCAAATAACATAAAACGATGATCATGTATGATGCGCTTGGTTGGGCGCGCGTCTTTTGCCTATACATAATAGTCATTGTTAGAAAGAAAAGAACGACTGCAAAATCTAAACAAGTAAAAAAGCTACCAATTGTGTATGAATAATCGACGACATAAAGCAAAAAAAAATTGAATGGTATATTCGATTCGTCTTCTCGAAATAATAACAACGGTAGAAAGACAATGGATGCATTGTTAATGGAGAAATAGAGTCATAAGCATCAATAAGCATAAATTGATAAGAATTAACATTGCAATCAGTAATGGTAAATGGCCAGTCTGGTCGAGGATTTCTTTATTGACCGGTAGACACAACTTTTTTCTGGACTGCCCGTTTTAGATTTGTTCAAGACTTTTGCATGTCGAACCGTTTTTACTGATATCAATGACTATTTCTATAGAGAAACATTGGTTAGAAAATTTCTATTAAGGAAATATTCATGAAAATAGTCGTAATATTCATTCGCATCGTTTCTCTTAAGGTTGTAGGATGCATTTTTTGTATCTGCGCATATCTTTTTCTTATGTAAGATAACATTGTTCTACGTGTATTAATAATTTTTATAATTATTAATATATTATAATATAATAAACTTTTTCGGATAGTTAGCTAAAAATTTTTATAGCTAATTACCGAAATCAGTCATTGAATCAACAGATTCAACAACAAAATGGTTGCATTCATGAACTTATGTCTAAATGTAATGTGAATATTTGTCAAGATCAACCCTATGTTTAACCAACATCAGTTGTTAATGTACAACAATTGAATTTATCTTCTACATCAATTAGACGTGCATTATCTTATGATACAGAAGATGATTTTACATTAATTAAAAGTAAAAATAAAAATAAAAAAGTTAAACAAAATGAAAAAAAGAATGATAGAATGAAGTTTAGTATTAATACTATAATTAATAATGATAATGTTGATAATCAATAATAACTTTTAAGTGCTTCTCCTGATATGTTTCTAATTAAACATCCTAATAATGATAATAATATTAATATGAATAACGCTAACACTATAAATAACAATAATCAAATTACGATACAATCTGAAACATTATGCTATGGCAAGGCATCTTTTTACTCCATTTATTATTAGATTTTATGTTACGAGCATCAATGAACAAAAAATTGTTGAAGAATTGATCGATTTTATTAATCATAATAAGAACGAAGTAGTTGAATTTGCGGGATATCGTCGGTCCACAGCAAAATTTTGTTCAAATGAATGTGATCTGTTGTTACTCGTCAAAGATAGCAATTCCTTTTGCATCCTCTATAACGATGCTAACTGGCCGAGAATGCTAAGCAATAGTAATTATACTATTGTTATACAACCGTCAAACTCGGCTCAGTTATCATTATTAATAAAAAATGTCGATTTAAGATTAGATTTTAATGATTTCACAAATGATCTTAAAGAAAAGTATCCATCTATTAAAAATGTTATACGTATGAAAAATAAATTTCAGAAGGAAATTCGTGTAATTAAAATCGAACTGATATCAACCAAGGATAGAAATGAATTAATTGAATTGAGTAAAGTAGTGGTTAATGCTCTATGTTATAATGTGGTTGAGTATCTTGCTCCGGCAATGGTACTCATTTGTTCAAAATGTTTAGGATTGGGTCATTTTAGAAGAAATTGTAAGGAAGACAATGATACATATAAAATTTGTGGAGAAGTTTGTCATGATTTGAAACAACATATTTATTCTAAGACAGCTAAATGCATACACTGTAATGGCAATCACAACTCTAATGCAATGAGCTGTCCGGTTATTAAACAATTTCGAGCAAATTTGACGAAAAAATTGTTAACTACGACAGCTTATACCCAATCAAACCAAACTCATTCATTTATTAATGATAATCATAATTATGCGTATAATCCTGCAAATTTCCCACTCATGCCGACTCCACAAAATTTAAATATTGTCAGACCTAATAACGTATTAGTACAGAAATTAGATGCTCTAAATGACAATATGTTGAAAATTAATAAAAAGATTGAAGATCTAGTATTAAAAACCAACACATTTGAAGAATTAATGAAAAAGAAGGTTGAAGCCGACATCCTAACTATGAACAAAATTCAAATTTTAGAAACGAAAGAAGAAAGTAATAGAGGAGATATCCAAATACTATCAGAGACAATGCTGAATATGGTTCAATTTATCTTAAAATTAAATATTGAACAGAACGGTCCAATTAATGATGTCGATTTCAAATGCATTTTAGAAAGAAAAAATGTACAACTGTTGAAATGTTTGGAATTTAAGCCCCCCCCCCCTTCAGAAAAGTCGATTTTCGTCAAAAAAATCATCTTTGAGATAAACATATGAGCATGTTACCTGATTTGTCTAATGTACGAATTCATAAAAATAGTTTTGATTTTCGAAGGTTTTTGGGAGTTTTACGAATGATCTTTGGAACCACTATCCATTCCAAAATACAAGGCCATCGTTTGCTTTTTGAATAACTTTTGATAGGAACAAGATAGAGAGCTGCAGTTTTCACCGTTGTAAAGAGAAGGTCTAGGCGCATAAACACGTGCTGAAATTTGATTGGTCAGCGATAAAGCAATTAGATTAATTGTTGATGAAAATTTTGAAAACGATTTTCTGGAGCCATTTTTCAGTTGTTCTTGATTATTAATGTGATCGTTCGATAGGAAATGTTGTTCTCTTTCGATCTGCTCAAGGCCGACATTGCTAGCTTGTTCCATTCAAGAGTTATGAGAGTTTTCCTGAGACCCCCAAAGTCAGTCCATCGACCTAGGATCGCCCTGAAAAGTATCTAGGAAGAGGTAATTCATCATGCTGAGTTGACTGGTGAAAATTGTTTTTCGGTTCGAAATGATCTGACTCTATTATCTCAATAATACCAAAATTTCACAATCTGGCGGTATATAGCGTAATGAGTCGACGTTTCAGGAATATTGAGACAACAGTGCTAAGTGATTTCGGGTCTAAAGACAAATACCACCATTCAACTCAGCATGCTGAATTACTGCTGCCAAGATGCTTTTTCTGAGTGATTCTTGGTCGATAAGTTAAAAAAAAAAGGGGAGTCTCAGGAAAACCCTTATAACTCTTGAATGGAGCGTGTGGGTGTAAATCTTCTCTTGTTGATCATCCACATCCATATCCATGCCCATACTTGAGTTTTTGCAGTCTTTCCATTGTTTACGAGTAAACAAAGAGATGATCTTTCACATTTTTACTATAATTGCTTGAAAAGGATATTATATGACTGGAAATGAAGCGATACGTTTTTTACTTTTTTATATAATGAAATATCTTTAGAAGATAGATGTAGTAAATACTGGGATCAATATCTAAGTGCTTTCAGTGACTCGAAGGACGCAGTACTTTTAATGGAAGTATTGAATTGGAATGTATTTAGAAATGGCTGGGTACAAAAAGAATATGCTATTCCTAATTTGAGAAAATCTAAAAGATTTATTGAGCATACTTCAGTATTATCAAAAGCTTTAGAATGGTGTGCCAATAACGCGGTGCAACATTCTATTCCGGAATTTTGTGTTTCTGGCCTACTAACGCTAAAAGAATTTCCTGAAATATTTTAACGTTACCATACCTTTTTATGACACTCTCTACTTCCTAATAGTTAGGTACGTATTATATTTGTTATCATTTTTTTTCACATGTGTATTAACTGTGTTTGAAGTTAATATTTAAAGCATTAAATGTTTTTCTTTCTCTTTTATTCTTTACAACAACGTCGACTGATCTTGTCTTTTTGTATTTCTCTATCTCTACTTCTATTTCTCTTTTCTGCTGTTACATCACTATCTTTTTATATGTGATATTTTGTAATCTATGAGCCACGTACTGACAGGATCCGATAGAGGTCACCAGTTTTATGCAGCAAATAAAAAAAAATAGTCGTAATATATTTTATCAAATCACTTCGATATCAAACTATTTTATCAAAACAAATTGCAATCACTGTTCTTCATTATAATTTATTACATAAAAGATGTAAAATACGTTCTGATTCCTTCACGCAATATTTTTTTCTAACATCTGCCTAGAGTGAAAGAGGATTATATTCACAGTATGTATACTAGATATCTAGATATATTCTATTCTAGAATTTGAGCTTCCTACTGATTATCGTCACGGAAATATAAGCATAACCAAAGTAGTAAGAATTTTTGAACTATAATTGGAAAAATTATGAATGAGAAAATTTCTATTCATTCCAAAGATCACGGCTACACTACAGTGATATATTAACAGGATTGTCACCTCGTTAATTCAGAAAAGCAGAAAGCTCAGTCAGAAAAAGCGCGAAAAAACGAAAACAAAAAGTCAAAAGACAGAAAATTGTGGAAATCTGTTTCTATGAAACTTTCACATTCCTATCAGTTTAAATAACTTTTTCTTCTCTCTATGATTCTTCTTTATACGCAAAGCTCCAAAACACAATGAATGATAAATGAAAAAGATGGATATTTTATTAAGCACATCATTTTTTCACAAGCAGTTGCATTTATCCTTTCAATCGATTTCGATTAGAAACTAGTTTTCAGACAACAAATGTGTATGCATGTTCGTGTGACTTTGAAGTATTTCAATGAATCTATATTTCTGCACTGAGTGAATCGACTGATATTTGATTGCAAAACTCATTGGACATCTATACCGTCTCCGAAAAAAAACTTTCAGTAATATCGTAATAGAACACAGAATGAATCATATAAACAAAAAATAGACTGTAAAAGATAGCTAACTAGAGACTTACATCAGAGTTTTTGTGCGTTGTAAATTTTATTCTTTGATAGATTTTATACGAATCAATGTATTTTGAAGGCTCAACCAACATCACCTTGAAGTTTGCAGACACAAAAAGAAAGTTGGAGTCGTTCTATACAGCTAACAC